ACTCATTAGATCACTTGAGAGACTTTTTGGAGGCTATTGATAAAAGATTCCTGAGAAGAAAAATTGTCTAATTCTCAAGAACAATTTTTTCTTTGGCTCTCTTGTGATTGGAAGGAGATCAAGAATACTTAGAGGAGATTAAACGACGTGTGCCCACCCGCACACCAATTATGGAAACGAGAATAGCAAACAAGACCAGTTGGTTGAGGCTCTTCCGGTTGCTGTTTGGAACGCTTATATCTGTCAGACGTGCAGTTTCCTGAATTCTCAAAAGGTATGTTTTAGATCTTTAGTATTTATATAATATAGCATTATGAACATGTTCTTGTTTGGCTTTGACATTGATTAAAAATTTTAAATTCCGCTGTGCACTCGATGCCATTAATATTCCAACAATTGGTATCAGAGCCATTGCTATTTGTTCATAATTATGCTATGTACATAGATTTGTGATCTAAAAATATATCTTTTATGCTTGAATTGATATTTTAGAGAGATGGCACTCTAGCGTTTCTATATTATGTTGTTATCATGAATATATGGTGAATGAATGATTAAATAATTATTATTGATTATTATTTATAAATTATCAATGATTATTCATTATTTAATTTTTACCGGTTATGGTTCCTTAGAGTTTAGAATGGTTGTATAGGAATTTGTTCATTACAATGTAATTAGATAAGCGGCCTATCATCGCCGTTAGGGTTTATTTTATTTTCTTTATTAGAAATTTTGTAAACCGGAAAACGGTATAGGAATTTTTATGTAAAAATTCTTGGAGGAGATTTATCAAGGATCTTGAAGATGGATCTTGAAGATGAAGGATGTGCAGGTATCTAATTTTCCTTGGTTTATAAAATTGTTTTGTGTTTTTTGAATAAATTGAAAAACTGCTTTGATTTCTGAAAATTTGGGTTACTGTCGCACAGGCACCGGTCGACCGGTTAGTGTAAGGCGGTCGACCAGTTGAGTATAACTGCTTTGTCACCGGTTGACCGGACCTAACATGACAGTATACAATTTTGCAGTTTTTTGACATTTTTTCAAGAAAACATGAAATATAATTTTATGATAACCAGAATTTGATCGTGATGAAGAATTCAAGGACAACCGGGAAGATTCAAGATGAAGAATCGATATATGTTTCGATTATTCTTAGTAATCTTTGTTTTTTTCTTTTCTCTAGGATGGAACCATAATATTAAGGTTATTATTATTATTATGCTTATTGCTTAGCTTAATTGCTTTGTATGATTGCATATAATATAATTTGCTATATATGTGATAACATGTCATGTAGAATAGGGAGTGCCACTCATTAAAATTGTTCATGCATATTTCTTAACATAAAACCTTGTTTTTCCAAAAGATTGAGTGGGTGAGGGTTTTTTTTTAAGAAAAGACCCATGGCCTCCAATGTTGGTCCGCAGGTAACACATGGTGATACCGACCCCTAGGAAGGGATTCATTATCTACCGGTGTGGATCTCCGAGTGGATAATTTATTTGAGCATATTTTATGGTTGTACACCCCTAGGTGACAATTGTAAAATATGGATCAAATAGTTAAAACGATGGTTATACACTCAAGATTAATTTAATTACTAATCTCCCCTAGGAGCTCTGCTAATTAAATTAATGGCCAAAGAAAACGATTATCAATATATGCTGGACAGAGATTGAT